GTATTTGTATTTATTGGCAAAGGTGTGTCGTATTTGTAGTAAAGTACTGTAGCAGTTGTTTATGGGAACTATAGTGGGCTACTCATGTATCACATATGGACAAATGTTCTTGTATTTGTATTTATGGACAAATATTGTCTTCTTTATATTTATGGACAAATGTTGTGTATTTGTATTTATGGACAAATGTTGTCGTATTTGTATTTATTGGCAAACGTCTGTCGTATCTGTAGTAAAGTACTGTAGCAGTTAGTATCTGGGCATCAGCGCCTACTATCGTATCAAAAATAGTGTACGAGTATTGCATACTACCACCTGGTATAAGTTCATCTATGAGTGTGCTCCGCACCTCTGACTGTATGCACGTTGGACCGGCAGGTTAGGTCAAACAACTACCTATGAACAACTTTGTGTAGGGAGATGTACCTCCAATGATACTCATGTATGTGCATGTGTGTGTATGCATGTGTATATATGTTCGTGTATTTGCATGCACGTGCATATATGTACATGTATATGCATGTCTGTGCATGAATGTGCATGTATGTGCATATATGTACATGTATATGCATGTTTGTGCATGTATGGGCATGTATATATATGTATGTGCAAATATGTATATGTATGTGCATGTATATGCATGCATGTGCATATATGTGCATGTATATGTATGTATGTACATATGTATACCTGTATGTGCATGTATGTGCACGTTTGTGCATGTGTACCTACACACTATAGTGTAACTCATATGGATACTCTAATTGTCAGCTAGCACAAGCAACTGCACATGAACGAATATGCATGAGTTGAGAATATAAACCCACATCTCTAAACAATGTCTATGGGTAATCCTACTCTGTACCTTACCTCATATACCTTATATTCCTAATGTCCATGAATACTCCCACCTTACACCTTACCTCATATACCATCTCTAAACAATCTCCACGGGTAATCCTACCCTATACCTTACGTCATATACCATCTCTAAACAATGTCCACGGGTAATCCTACCCTACACCTTACCTCATATACCATCTCTAAACAATGTCCATGGGTAATCCTACCCTATTATACCATCTCTTCCCAATGTCCATGAGTAATCCTACTCTACACCTTACCTCATATACCATCTCTAAACAATGTCCATGGGTAATCCTACCCTATTATACCATCTCTTCCCAATGTCCATGAATAATAATCCCACCCTACATCTTACCTCAGATGACACCGGTGATGACGAGTACGCACACGAGGCCGTGACCTTTGCCCACTCGCAGCCCACCACCACCAGCACTCAGGACAACACCACCAGCCGCCGCAACAACAAGGACGGGCGCCAATTCTCAAAGACATTTGTGCTGAAGGGCCACGAGGGGGCTGTATACGCGGTCAAGCATTCTCCGTGTGGGAAGGTGAGACGGGTGATTGACTTGTTTTTTCTATGGGTTTGATATATATAGGTGTGTGCGTGCTCTTGCAAGTACGTATGTATCTATGAATGTGCATGTGTCGGAGTGCAGAGAAACACAGCCGATCACCGCGTGCCAACAAGGATGTCCATCACATCGTTTAGAGAATTTTGCGTACAGGGCACGAGCGTGCTGTGTATGCAGCCAAATACTCGCCTTGCGATGAAGTATGACGTTGGTGAAATGTACCATATCTTTATATATAGTACCATTCTGAGTCGGAGA